GTGAGGTTGGGGAGGTTGATTTTGTCATTTGGGAGTTGTAGTTGCTGGGATTTATAGTTCACCTACAATCAAAGAGCATTCTGAACTCCACCAATGATGGAATTGAACCAAACTTGGCACACAGAACTCCCATGACCAATGGAAAATACTGGAAGGGTTTGGTGGGCATTGACCTTGAGTTTTGGAGTTGTAGTTCACCTACATCCAGAGAGCACTGTGGACTCAAACAATGATGGATCTGGACCAAACTTGGCATGAATACTCAATATGCCCAAATGTGAACACTGGTGGAGTTTGAGGAAAATAGACCTTGACATTTGGGAGTTGTAGTTGCTGGGATTTATAGTTCACCTACAATCAAAGAGCATTCTGAACCCCCCAATGATAGAATTGGGCCAAACTTCCCACACAGAACCCTCCATGACCAACAAAAATACTGTGTTTTCTGATGGTGTTTGGTGACCCCTCTGACAGCCCCTCGACACCCCCCCCCCAGGGGTCCAGACCCCAGGTTGTGAAACACTGCTCTAACTCCACTACCATTATGAACTTTGCCTTTTCCGAGCCGCAGATCCACAGATCAGCCGCAGACCGCACAACCTCTGAGGATGCCTGCCATAGATGCAGGTGAAACATCAGGAGAGAATACTTCTTGAACATGGCCATACACCCTGAAAAACTTACAACAACCCATGGTAATCTTTGTTTTGGAACTTTCCCTTGTTTTCTTTCTTCTTCATCTTCCTTTTTTTTTTTTTTTGGACAATTTTTGTTTAAATAAAACAGTAAGATGTAAAAGATAGATACTGTCTCTTGAATTGCTGTGGTAATTGGAACAACTCCTGGAAGCAATATAAATCTTATAAAGTATATCATTCAAACTCAAAGAACCAATCAGGAGCCCCCAAAGTAGAGATGGCTAGAAAGGGTGATTGGTTCTCACTCTGTTGTCAAACTTATGTCTAATTTCTCAATTCTTTGTCCAAGTGCAGAATTTTGTTTTATCCATTATGCATACAGCACAACCCTCATATCTGCAGTACCAGTTCCCATGGTATAATTTATTTATATCTGACAAACTATGCCCTTTATAGGTATTTTATTAATCTTCCAGAGTGACCCAATTATATTCTTGGGTTGGAACTTCTACTTTTCAATAAGATTTGCTATTGTACACAGCTTTGTGTATATCCATGTGAAGTCCAAGAATGTATTCCACAATGATAAGGAGTCATGCTGCTTTGCATATAGAGCTTTTTCTTTGAAACTCAAAGTGCTGGTTACATCTTCTCCTTGTGCTCACTCGCTTTTTCAACACAGAGATAAGGATGCAGACTGAGATTCTGCGTACCTTAATTGAAGAATAGTTGGGGGATTTAGGTGAGATGAAATGACTTATCTGAAAGAAAATGATTAGATTAGCTTTTATTAGAAACAGGAGCACTAACGGTAGTAATATTTAATATTAATATACAGGAGTGGTTCTCAACCTTCCTAATGCCGTTACCCCTTAATACAGTTCCTCATGTTGTGGTGACCCCCAAACAAAAAAATTATTTTAATTGCTACTTCATAACTGTAATTTTGCTGCTGTTATGAATCGTAATGTAAATATCTGATATGCAGGATGTATTTTCATTCACTGGACCAATTTTGGCACAAATACCCAATATGCCCAAATTTGAATACTGGTGGGGTTGGAGGGTATTGATTTTGTCATTTGGGAGTTGTAGTTCCTGGGATTGTGACATTTTTGAAGGATTGGGAAACTCTGGCTGCAGAAGAATGAGAATAATATGCTCTGGGTTTACATCCTTAGTAGGTTTGGTTGAGGAGATGCGTATGAATATTCTTTAGTTTGGAGAAGTCAGATTCTAGACCAGTATTTCTCAACCTTCCTAATGCTGCAACCCCTTGATACAGTTCCCCATGTTGTGGTGACCCCCAACCATAACATTATTTTTGTTGCTACTTCATAACTGTAATTTTGCTACTTTTATGAATCGTAATGTAAATATCTGATATGCAGGATGTATTTTCATTCACTGGACCAAATTTGGCACCAATATGCCCAAATTTGAATACTGGTGGGGTTGGGAGGTTGATTTTGTCATTTGGGAGTTGTAGTTGCTGGGATTTATAGTTCACCTACAATCAAAGAGCATTCTGAACTCCACCAACGATGGAATTGAACCAAACTTGGCACACAGGACACCCATGACCAACAGAAAATACTGGAATTGTTTGGTGAGCATTGACCTTGAGTTTGGGAGTTGTAGTTCACCTACATCCAGAGAGCACTGTGGACTCAAACAATGATGGATCTGGACCAAACTTGGCACAAATACTCATTATGCCCAAATGTGAACACTGGGGGAAATAGACCTTGACATTTGGGAGTTGTATTTGCTGGGATTTATAGTACATCTACAATCAAAGAGCATTCTGAACCCCACCAATGATAGAATCTGAACAAACTACCCACAGAGAACCTCCATGACCAAGAGAAAATACAGTGTGACCAGTGACGCCTCTGACACCCCCTCGCAACCTCCCCAGGGATCCCAACCCCCTCTCATACTCTCACAAAAACAACAACCATGTGAGCTTGGTCTAATGAAAAGAGTGATATGAACAGAAAGAGAGACTGGACTAAGATCAACAAGGAACATGAATTTCTCAATTACGATACATTGTTTTCCTTTTCTGCCCCACAATTATAGCACTGTGATCTACCTTCAATAACCTCCTTCCTAAGTAATCTTGGGATTTGTAAATTTTTTAGTTGCTAGAACTCTCTGGCAGAGAATTATCTTCGGCAAAACTGCAAATCATGGGACCGATTAGATGGAGCTATAGTCATCAAAGAGGGGTCTGTAATTTTGACCACACACTGATGTTGCTTGGCCACGTGTGTCCTGGTTTTCATTCATTAAATGCTGAATGGCACCCGGGAGCAGTGTGTTCTAGACCCTCAGAATAATTAGCTAGATTTTTAAAAAATCTCTTTAAATGTATTTTAGCTTATTCATATCCTTCCTTCATGGTTTGGGTTAGTTTGTTTAATAATTTTTTGCATGTCAAAGTCAGGCTTACTTCTTGAAAAGGATGCAACAGGTCATCAATACATCAAACAGGAGCATCTTGAATAGCAGCATTCTGAGGGTCAAAAGAACCAGCGCCTCCGTGCGGTTGTGCAGAATCTCAAGAGGCAATACCTGGTCTAGGGCTAACAAAATATTTAGATTAAAATAAGAATATATAGGAACAAAAACAAATTAAAATAAGAATATATAGAAATGAAAATAATGAAAAGTAATGCCTAGTGGTATAGTGGTAAACTTTGAAATACAAGGGTGCATCATTACAGTTACTATATTCATCTGACACTGCTGATTCGAGGATTGAGGGTCCTTTGCCATTTTTTTGAGGTTACCTTTTAGCACCTTCTAGACATGTAGGCATTCGAGTCAAAACCAATGGAAAAATCCAGGGTTAACATCAACAGCTCAAGCATTCTTAAGTACTGGAATCTCAGGATATTTATATTACATTGCATGAATTACATTACAATATATGATAGGGAAAGTGCTTCCTCTGTGCCTCCCCTTATCATACACAAACTGTGTTGAAAATAATATGAACTACATGAGGTGTGGACAAACTTCAGTCCTCCAGGTGTTTTAGACTGCAACTTCCACAATTCCTAACAGCTACGCAGTCTCTTTTGATTGGGAGTGCTAGGAGCCTCAGTCCAAAACAGAAGCAGGAAAACATGGAAAGGCATGGGGACTCCCAGCAACCTCCCCAAGAGGCTCTGACAGGTCACTTCCCAGTGTATCTGTTTCCGCTAAGAAACATAAACCAAACCAATCCACTTTTATTTTCCCTCAAATGGACTCTACAGGATATTTTAATGATGTTTTGGGAGCTTTCTGGATCATTTTATATCCAGGAGAACTCTTTTGCAGCTCTCCTGTAAATTCACCTCCTGTTAATCTCCTGTTTTAAAAATATCTTCTTTGCCCCTTAATTGGCTCAGAGTGGCCCAGCACATGGTGGAAATGCCCTTTACATCTACAAAGGGCATTTTGGGTCATATCAGAGCAAAGTTTTTGAAATGCAGGTTGAGTGTGCCTTATCCAAAATGTTTTGGATTGGAAGTATTTTGGATTTTTTTTATCACAATGAAGTTTGTGGACAGTAAATTATCAGGAAGCAAATGTGTCACTATCTCAGCTACTCAGGTGGACAATTTTGGATGCTGGAATATTTTGGATATCAGAATTCCAGATAAGGGATTCTCAACCTGTACAAGTTGTGGGCTGCATTTTGCCAACCCACAACTTGTGAGTTGCCATTACCACATTCTACAGACTAAGAAAAGTCAGAAGAAAAACAACAGGAGAACGAAAGGCGACAACAGTTGGATGATGGCATTGGGTCAGTGCTCTGCAAAAGGTGAAGATACAAGGCATGATAATTATTTATTAAATGTATAATGTAGATGCACCCTGGAAAGAAGGAAAATGTGATGTTCTTACCTTCTTGGTTTTCATCTAGGCACAACTCCCCCATAGTGTTTTCTATAAAAATAATGTTTAAAGAAGACTTTAGAAGAGGATAAACATATAACACTCTTGTTCTGTTACAAATCTTTCTTTTGTTGCAATCCACACTATGTTTCCAGGTTATTAAATACTAATACTACTACTACTACTACTAATAATAATAATATAAAAAACTCTATTTGTACCCCACTACCATCTCCACAAGGGACTCGGTGCGGCTTACATGAGGCCAAGCCCACAGCACATTAATAAACAAAGGCAATAACAAATAATCAATACAAAACTGTTAAAATAAAATAAAATAAAAACTCGAAAACAAAAAAAAACAATAAGCAATAAGCAATATCAATAACAATAACATACGGCATTTAAAAACCAATGGCTGGGCCAAATGTAATAATTAAAATTTAACATTTTAATTTCCTTTTTTAGAAAGTGTTTAATTAAGTCAAACAAGTAGTAGTGGAAGCTCTGGTTTTTTATCTTGGTTTTAATGTTCACACAGCTTTAATTGTGGTTGCGGCTTCAAATATTTATGCTTTAATGGGTGTTTTAACTTTGTATTGTCGAAGGCTTTCATGGCTGGAATCATTGGGTTTTTGTAGGTTTTTCGGGCCATATGGCCATGATCTAGAAGCATTCTCTCCTGATGTTTCATCTGCATCTATGGCAGGCATCCTCAAAGGTTGTGAGGTTGTTTTAACGTTATATTGTATGTTTTGTTCTGTTGTGGCTGCCTTGGGTCTGTCCTTGGAGAAAGGCAGGATATGCATTTGTCAAATACATAAATAAATAATTTGAAGCTACTGGAATTTGTTAATTAACATTACAAGGGTTCCCTTGTATGACAGAAGCTCTTTCCAGGTGATATTCATGGTTTCACTGACCTAAACTGACCCACCAAATATTCCTTCCCAGAAGCATTTGTGGCTCTATCTAGTTCCTTCAGTACTATTCTCTAGTGTGCTTCCACTCCAAATATAATCAAAATATAGGGTCTGTTATTATCTGTGGTTTCAGACTTCCACTGAGTGTCCTGAATGTATCCCTTGTGACTATAATACCGTATTATTATTTATTCGTATACATTGTCTCCCAAAGGCTTGACCTTGAAAATCAAATAATATTTGCTTCTCCCCTTTGATAAATACCAGATAATTGAAGAGAGGTGGTGTTCCATTTCTGTGAGGTTTGGTTTTGTGCCACGTAGCAAACAACATTATTCCAGGATGCAAAATCTTGGGTGTTGATGGAAATTTGAGAGATTGCACTGAAAGTACCATCTTCTTCTCCAGAAAGCCCATAAACGGGAGATGCCAGCATGCTCCCATTTCCATTGGAAAACAAAACAGCCGGAGAAGCATCTTTGGAGAGGTCTCTCACTAGGCATGCTAGTAATGTCTTCCTTTCACCATTTATTATCACATGCTTTGGTGGCGACAGTGTCGGAGTAAAAGCCAAAGAGCAGCTCCCTGTTACTAGAAGAAAAAACTTATGAGAAAGCTGCATATGCAAACACAAAAGTACAGTGTTGATTTTTCTCTGTGCCTCTCCTTATCATATACAAAGTATGCTGAAAATAATACAGAGTAGTTATATCGGGCATGGG